CCCCAAACCCCCAAAACCCCAAAACCCCGTTAAGAAAGTGTAAACATAAATCTGAAAAATAATTATACTAAATTTAATAATTAAATTATTTAAAATTTATAATGAGAACAAATAGTAATGGAAATTACCCAAACTATAGCAACAATAACTCCTCTTTTAAATCCACAAGTGGGCAACCCTCTTATTCAAGTTCAATTGGCAAAAACTATAATAATAGCAGTATCTATATCTTTACATTTTAAATTCAATAGGCAGCGGAGTGTCCTCAGTACTCTATGGGAATTAAAATCCTTCACAGTAAAATTTGAGATAGCCCAGTCGACAATAAATCAACTGGCAAGAGGAGGAGGAGAAAAAATAATACCAAGTGAGTGCAGCTTAGAAGTAATAACTATTTTCGATAAGCTAAGGAAGAGAAAAATAACAGCTTAATTATTCACAGATTGGTGCAACAAGCTCTAATCTACAGAATTAAAGCAGCATATACACATAACAACAGCTAATGCAATAGCAATAGTTGAAAGAGGCACAGGCAAGTTTTAAGATAGGAAGTCTGACCAGTAATCCGATCGCTCAAGGCAATAGCTTTGGTGACTATTACGGCAACACTAAAAAGTTTGAGAAAACACCTGAAGATGAGTAATATAGTAAAAGTAAGTAATCGATCTAAGTCTTACAGTATTTGAATAATTATGTTCTTTGGAATCGATACTAATTGCATAAATTTAGGCTACAAGCAATCGTCTTCATTGAATGAAAAACCTAGTTAGAGTAGTTTTTCGCAGCATTAAACTTCAGGATCAATGATTTCATCATCTGCTTCTAAGAAAGCAGGACCTCCTCCAGGCTTAAGAAACATTGGAAACACTTGTTTTATGTAAGAATTTTATCGATTCTTTAAGTCAATCTTAATAATTATAGGAATTCTATACTTCAGTGTGTATTCGCAACACCATATCTGAATGACTTCTTCTTAACTGAGTATTCTAAGTCAAGCTAATATCGAAGCGCAAGACTAGCAGATGCTTACAACTCTCTGATTAAATAAGTTAAGCAGGGGTATGAATCGACTATCTCACCTACAGACTTGAAATATGCTGTTTCTAAAGTAGCTCCTTAGTTTTCTGGATATGGACAATAAGACGCCTAGGAGTTTTTGAGATTTTTCCTAGATGGCTTGCATGAAGAGTTAAATAGAGTAAGGAAGAAGCCGCCCTATAAAGAGATGGATTTCGATAAATTGCCTGCAGACTAATAAAGTGATAATTGGTGGTAGTATAACAAGGAGAGGGATGACTCTATTATCACAGATCTATTCACTGGTCAACTTATGAATAAAATAGAGTGTTAGAGTTGCAATCATTGCAGTTACGCATTTGATAATTTCATGGATCTAAGTATTTCAATTCCAAGAAAAGGAGTTAAGATTACGGGCTATGTAGACCTAAAAGATTGTCTTAAAACCTTCATTCAGCCAGAGAGAATGGAAGAGTGCGGCTATAAATGTTAAAAGTGCAAAAAGGTTGATAACTTCAACAAGGAAATGACTGTCTACAGGTTTCCAAAGATCATGGTCATACATCTGAAGAGATTCTACAACAGTTACATGCGAAGAGAAAAGCTCAACACTACAGTCAATATACCTACAACAGTAGATCTATCAGAATTTGCACCAAATTCAAGTATGACTAACTATACTTAATAATTATTTATTTAGAGCATGACTCAAAAAGAAAAGCCAAATATCAGTTGTACGGGGTGTCTCATCACAGTGGCACTCTTTATGGCGGACATTACATTGGGTAAGCAGGACAGATGATATTGATAATTTTCTATAGAGAAATATATAACCTAGACGATGGGAAGTGGTATCAATGCAACGACTCTTGGGTAAAGTAGTGTACTCCTGATTTGCAGAGTTCCTCGGCCTATGTACTCTTCTACGTGATGATGTGAAAATTTTCTGAATCGATTGAATGATGATCAAGGGTAGACTGCTTCTTCAGGTGTTGCGGGTATGTATAAATGTGTGTGCTTATTGTTATCTATGCAATGACATTTTTATTTCACTCTTCTTCGTCAGAGGGAGAGAGAGTCCTTATATTAATATGATGGTGTTAATTTACATACTTGCAGCTACTGCATTAACTGTTTCTCTACAGTCAAATATAAATCATCTATATCATTTAAATTAATAAACTTATAATCTGAATCATAATTTTAAATTTAAATATATGAAAATCTCTAAGTTTTGTGTAAATTTTTAGGTAATCCAATTAATAAAGTTAAGATAAGAATTATTTATTCATCAAACATTAATAGTACAATATCACTGCTGGTTTAGAGAAAGCAATCAAACCAGCATACATGTACTACAATGATACTTCTAATTATTTCCATCATACCTATAAATAAAGTTAAGCAATTCAAACAAGCTTACTCTAGACAAAGCACGCATTGCTTTTATTAACAAGTAGTGCACTCATCCATGCAGTTTTAGCAAGTGAATCTAGCACATCCCACGCATTTCTGCTTTATATAAACTTCCACAATGTCATTTGACACCTTGCCTACTTGATGCTAATCCTCTAGGTATTTCTGCTGTTCATCCTTGTTCATCTTAGAGAACTTATCATTTTGCTTATCAACCACACTCACTGGCTTTTAGCATCTGAAGCACAGCAGCACACACTCTTTGTCCTTTAGTGCATCAAGCTCCTTCTTTCTGAGCTTTTGCGACTCCATCATGAGTTTCAAAGTGTGATCGTAGATCGATGTTGTGTCATTTTATACTGACTTCTGAGCTATCTACCTTTACTTACTTTGAGTCTAGGATTAGGGATTTTGAGTTTGCATAAATGATGTCAAAGTTTTTTATTATAGCTAAGGAGTACTGTTTGCGTATGACTACTATGATTGATGAGTCATTGAAGCAAACGGGTTCTAATTGATTGTCAATGGTTGCTGCTGGTTCTAGGATAGCTGTGTGATTGATTACTAAGAGAACTGGGATTATTGAGAGTTTTAAACATTAAACATGCTGTGACCAGCTGGGTTGAAGGTGAACTGAGAGTTGAATTGATGCGATTTCTAAGACAAAGGTGCAAAATTCTGTTGTTATTAAATTGAGGCATTTTGCATTAAGACTTACTAAGGAGAACTACTCTGGTTAAATCCATTTGGTGGCAGGGAATATCTCTAATATTGCTGTTGATAATCAGCAGCAACTCCATTTTAAATGGTTGATTTAGTTTGCAAGGCGGAATTTAATCCACTGAGTACACCTGAACTTCCAATTGGGAGGGTGTTTGACTTCTATAAAGTGGCGTATGGGTTAGGGGCTAAGTTGAGATGATTTTCATCTGAGTCGAAGGGATTTCTTCTTACTTGTACACTGAGTCTCATTTTAGTCAATTTGATGTTGATGCAAATGTGTATTTAAGGTTTAAGGTGGTATAGTTCAACCTGTTTAAATAAATCAAGTTATTATAATTTTAAATTGTGTTTCGCGGTTTTAATTATATTCTCACTCTCACTCCCTTGATTGCAAAGCTTTACTCTTTACGGGGTTTTGGGGTTTTGGGGTTTTGGGGTTTTGGGGTTTTGGGGTTCTGGGG